TGCGAGTTTAGGGAAATTGTGTCCTTCAAGGAATTGGTCCATTTCTCCTAGGTGATCAGATCTGTGGGCAAAATGTTTTTCATAATATTCCCTTATTCTTTTCATGTCCCTGGCATCTGTAGTGATGTCCCTCTTTCATTTCTGGTATTAGTATTTTGTGTCTTCTATTTTTCTTAGTCAGCATGACAGGCTTATATATTTTATTGATCTTTTCAAAAAATCAGCTTTAAGTTTTTAAAAATTTTATTGATTTTCAGTTTCAATCGTTCTAGCTTTAATTTTTATTATTTCTTTTCTTCTGCTTCATTTGGACTTAATTATTCTTTTTACGAAATGCTTTATGAGTATTATTATTAATTTTATTTACTATTTTTTAATTTAATCTATTTCATTCATTTTTTGGCGGGGGTTCACGGGCCTCTCACTGTTGTGGCCTCTCCCGTTGCGGAGCACAGGCTCCGGACGTGCAGGCTCAGCGGCCATGGCTCACGGGCCTAGCCGCTCCGCGGAATGTGGAATCTTCCCAGACCGGGGCACGAACCCGTGTCCCGTGCGTCGGCAGGCAGACTCTCAACCACTGCACCACCAGGGAAGCCCTATTTCATTCTTTATGTATATGTGTGTCTCTGTATAAATATAATTACATCTTCTTGATCCTTTTCCTCTCATCCATCAATGGACACTTAGTTTTTTCCATATCTTAGCTATTGTAAATAGTGCTGCATTGAGCAAGGGATATATATATATATATATATATGTCATTTCTAGTTGTTTTCATTTTCTTTGGATATATACTCATAGGTGTGTGAGCTGGGATTTATATAGCAATTCCCATTAGTGGTTAATTGAGGGCTATTCCCAGGGTATGTGGGAACTGGCTATTCCCAGTTCCCTGGCACCTCTGGCCTGCAGTGCGTGTGAGGGCAAAAGGATCTGTACTAATGGAAAGAAGTTTCTCAGGCACAAGTTTGCAGACACTCTAGTCTCACATCAGCCAGAAGACGCTGACTTGGTAGGACCTGAGGAATATGGGGTGTGGGGGAGGTGAGGCACAGCCAACATCTGCTAGAGTGTGCAGTAGATGGTGCTTGTTATTAACACAGCGAGCAACCAGATATGGTTAACAGATATGCACTACTGTATATAAAATAGACAAACAACAAGGACCTACTGTTACAGCACAGGGAACTATACTCAATATCTTGTAATAATCTATAAATGGAAAAGAATCTGAAAAAAGTATATAAAAATGAATTGCTTTGCTGTACACCTGAAATGTTAGTCAATTATACTTTGATTAAAAAAAAGAAAGACAAAAGAAAAGTGCAGGAGAGTGTGAAACTGAGAGGATGGAATTGGGCCTCCTGTCCTCTGGCTGAAGACAGGTAATGAGTTCTGTGTCTCTGCCGCAGTGTCAGGCTCCAGCAGAGAGAACCCTGTGCAGAATTCCGAAATGCACAGTGCCAGCCTTTTTGTATAGCAGAGATTCTCCAAACCTACTTCACCACGGGACAAGAGCATTAGATAATTTTTAACAATAGAGCTGGTGGGTGTGTGTCGACCTAGGCGTGCTCCCTGTCCTTGCCACTGGATGGACAGCTTGATCAATCGTGAACAAATGTTCACAGAGAAGTCAAACAAATGAAAAGGATGGGAAAAGCTAATGAGCGATAAAAGATCCTGAAACAGCCTGCAAATAAGTCTGACGCTCCTTTTGCCTTTAAATGACGGATCACTTTAAGTGATTGGGAATTTCTCCTTCTCATTAGGATTGTCAATATTTAGGGTTGCACCTTCTTTCTGATCACAGATGCCCACATAATAGCTGTGTCAGTTCAATTGGACAAATATTTTTTCAGTCACATGTGACTATCAAAGTGAAGAAATGAAGACTACTTGTCAGTTATAATTCTGAGGTTTGATAAGAAGTGGTTTAGAATTTTAACTGGGATGTCCAGTGGACTTAGGGTTTGATTCCTGATCCACCATTAACTTAATTACTTGCTGTGTAACTTTGGGCAAGTAACTCAGAACTCTCAAAATCACTGTTTTCTCATCTGTAGAATGAGTAAAATGATGGCGATACCCACCTCATAGATAGACTCATGAGGATTAAAAGAAATAATCCATGTTAAAGATTATTGCCTGTAATATAGTATTAAGAAATAGATTTAATTATAATGTTTACATAGTTGTTGTGGTTGAAGTGGTGGTAGCCATGGTTGTATTAATCATGGTATTACAAGTATGCTGGTCCCTTTCACTGCTGAAGGCATTGGAAAGAACATGGATTTTGAAGAGAAATAATCCTGAATTTTAATTCTACCTCTATGCACATTCGAGCATTTGTTAGAAATGTGCTGAGAAATGCTTACAAAACACCAAGAAATATTTGAAACTGAATAAAAACTAAAGGCTCAATAAATATGAACTCCGTTTTCCTCACCTCTCTTCATTCTGGCTTAAGTGCACCCAAAGGTGAGTGATCCGTAGAACTTATAAACGTTTTTTAAATTATTATTTTAAAAAAGTATCAATAACTCTAGCATGAAAATAAAATTTAAAAAATTTCATCTATATTGTAAACCATTTGACCATGTTACTGAGGCAGTCTTTTAAATCTATTGGTAGTTCATTCACCAAAATAATTTTAGCCTCAGGGAATATGAGAACAAATTTGTGCCTCTGCAGAGTATGCCATGACCCAGAGTTAAAAATCTTAATAGGTAAGACAATTTCATGTGAAATAAAAGAGAGGTAAATACATGTAATTTGTAAATGTAGTTCAAGGTAGGCTCAGAAAAATGCCAGGTCTAGAACCATGAACACAAGTGAAACCTCCTATTTTTCTAATCTGTGACTCTTTGGGTGGGAGAGCAGCTTTTGACCCTATATCATCACTTTGCAAAACAATATTTAACCGCTTGTGAAGAAAAGTAGGCAGTGGAAAAACTGTTTTGTTCAGAATCACAGAGGTGGATAATGCATTGTCTGAAAGCGAGGACTTTAATGATTTATTAGGTGATGGAAACCTATATTCATTTGTGCCCAATATACCTCATAATTTTGGTGTGTAATTTATATGCTGTGATAAGAGTTGTCCCTTTACTTTCATGATAGAAGTTGCTGCCAATACATAATTATAACTTAGTGTTATCTGAGAGATATGCTTTAGTCTAATACTTTTGTGATACATACTTTTATTGCATAAAATACTTTATTTTCTAAAAAATATGGAATTGTCCATGTTTCCTACTTTTACAGTATATTTTATAGAAAATATTATTAATATATATTATTTTTACATGGATTATTTCATTTCACAGGATGAGATATTAATTTAAAGCAAACTGTTTAAAAAACAATGATAAGCCTCCATTAAAGATGGATAAACAGGCTAATATGGGCTCTAATTTCTACCATTTTCTTTCTCATTGTACATCCTCTCTTTGGCACTTCAATTTCTCCAATAAAATGGAAACATTTTCAGTATTTTCTATAAGAAAACTACCTGTTGGTCTAAAAGGCTAGAATTAAAACTCAGGATTGTTTCTCTCCAAAATCAGTGCTCTTTCACTTGTATTGGGTGGGCCAAAAAGTGCCTTTGGTGTTTTAAGTAAAAATAAAAGACACATTTTTCATTTTCACCAATAACTTTATTGTACAAAGTATTCACCCCTTTGTTCCACTACCTTCTGCCATTTTTCAGGCAACTCCATAATTACATCTTCCCAAAACTTTTTATCTTTTTGAGCAAAGAACTGTTCCAGGTACCTTTTACAGTCTTCCAGGGAATTGAAATTTTATCCATGAAGAGAATTTTGTAAAGACCAAAATAAATGGAATTCCGAAGGTGCAATGTCTGGTGAATACAACAGATGAATCAGAACTTCCCAGTCATGCTGTAACAGTTTTTGCCTGGTCATCAAAGAGACATGTGGTCTTGCGTTATCTTGATGGAAGATTATGCGTTTTCTCTTGACTAATTCTGGACACTTTTCATCGAGTACCACTTTCAGTTGGTCTAATTGGGAGCAGTACTTGTTGGAATTAATCGTTTGGTTTTCCGGAAGGAGCTCATAACAGAGGACTCCCTTCCAATCCCACTGTATATACAACATCACCTTCTTTGGATGAAGACCGGCCTTTGGTGTGGTTGGTGGTGATTCATTTCGCTGCCCCACGATCTCTTCCATTCCACATTGTTGTACAGTATCCACTTTTCATCGCCCATCACAACTTGTTTTAAAAACAGAACATTTTCATTACGTTACAGTAGAGAATCCCATGTGGAAATATGGTCAAGAAGGTTTTTTATGCTTAATGTGGAAGCCAAACATCAAAGCGATTCACATAACCAAGCTGGTGCAAATAATTTTCAGTGCTTGATTCAGATATTTTGAGTATGTTGGCCATCTCCCACGTGGTATAACGTTGATTGTCCTCAATTATTGTTTCGATTTGATAGCTATCAACTTCAAGTGGTCTACCCAACTGTGGAGCATTGTCCAGCAAGAAAACTCCAGCACAAAACTTCGCAAACCACTTTTGACACGTTCGATCAGTCACAACACCTTCTCCATACACTGCACAAATCTTTTCTTTGTGTTTCAGTTGCGTTTTTACCTTTCTTAAGATAATAAAGCATAAGATGCTGAAAATGTTGCTTTTTTCTTCCATCTTCAATATTAAAATGGCTACACAAAAATTCACCAATTTTGGTAGGTCTTTTTATAAATGCATGCTGATATGACAATTGTCACATACAATCTAACAGAATTGTTTCAAATGAAGTTAAAGACAGCTAAGTGCTACTAGAGCCATCTTATGGAAAAAAACGAACGAACGTTTTGGCCCACCCAATACTAAGTCGTTGAAGGGAATAGTCACTTTTTCAAAGTCTTTCTATGTGTTTTTCATGGGGAAAAAGTCTAAGTGATATTTTCATGTGGAGGATCATCTAGCGTGCTTGTATGTTGATTCTATTTGTCTCCATCTCAGATATGTGAACACGTAAAACCATACCTGTGGAACCTAGATGCCTCACTTCTATGGAATGCAAACATTGAATCCAGGTAGCCTATTTTCATTTACCAATGATGCATACTTCTGGGCTTTGGCAAGTCACAGTTGCATAGCATGACAAATATTACAACCATTCATCTCTGCTTTACTTCTTTCCAGTAAACTGTAGGTTTGTACTTCTACATTCCCTCTCATGTCCTGACCTTGACATGAGGCATAGCTATGGGATGAGCTTTGTTCAAAAAGTGTGAGTGGAAATGATGCATGTTATTTTGAGCAGAGGCACTTCATTTGCTGGTACACAGCTCTCAGCCTCTCCTTTTCTCTTGCCATGGCTATTGTAAACACCTCTGGTGACATGGAGATGTAAGGTTGAGCTGTCATGTGGAGGACATGTATCCTGGTGATTGACCTCAGCCCACAGCAAACTTTGGCTGTATCAGTAATTAACTACCATTGTTTCAAGGTCTAGAGATTTTAGAATTCTTTATTATTACAAGAAAACTCAACCAATCCTGACTAATGGATATGGACATGAAACAGCCTCATCTATTTATCCCAAAAACAGCACTTTTGAGTATTGAGTAGGCGGGTACAGCCTCAGCATTCAACCACTGCAATTAAAAAAATGTCATTTTTTATCATTTTGAACATGCTTACATAGTGCCCCTCTTCAGGCAATACTCTGACTACTAGAAATATGAAGGGATATAAACTCATGATTAGATTTTCTCATTTCTAAGTGGAAGGTCAAACCTCATAATCACATTATCAAAGAAGAAATACAAATAATGAATGTCCCACAGGACTTTAGATAGATGAAGGCTATTTTTCGATTGCAGTCTATTTTTCTTACATCATAATAGTTTGTTTCCATGAAGTCCTTAGAATTTTAGAGTGAGATTCTTCAAACACTCAAAGTGCCATTTCACTTCCAACATACAAATAACATTTTCATAAATAAAATGAAGCTCTGTGTATTTGATTGTTACCATAACATATTAAAATGGTGGTAATTTTTTCACCATACCAAGAAGTTGTATTTGGAATATTCTTCCATAAATTACAGACTCTAGGATACACTTAAAATTTTTCTTGTAGGGCTCTCATTAGTTCTCAGAGATACAGGCATTTCCCTCTTGAGCAGCTGAAACTGAGGTGCAATGAGTGGCCCTTGACGTTATTAAATGTCAGCAACAGAAACACCAGGGACAAAAATGTAAATAGTAACTTCAAATAAGAGCTGCAAATCAAGTCAGAAGGATGGACACTCCAATTTGTGGGTGCCATAGTATAGATAAAGCTAGAGTGCTTTATCATTAAGCTATTTTTTAATATAGACAACTGTATGAAGCCTGCTCGAGGGTTTATTACAATAAAGCCTAATTTATTTCATTATTAATGATTCCTTTCTGACAGTGCTGAATAGGTCAGTTAGATTTTACATGAAATGGAAAAATTCTTAATCCTCGCCAGTTTTTTCTGTATGGCTAAGCTTTTCTTCCATGTGGGATAACTATAGTTCGTAACTCTTCATTTCTAATCATGAGCATTTAAAGCACCTTAAAAACTCAACGATTACTCTTTTTCTGTTGTTTTCTAAAGAAATTAATTTGTAAGAAAGGAACATTATTAAATGCTTTCTTTATATTACTGAACATCTTTTTCATTATGAAAATAAAGCATGCTTAATTTAGGACATTTAGAAATTAAAGGAGATTAATTAAGGGAAAGCTAAAAATATTAATAAAAAATAATAGCCAACACAAACTGGGCACTTTTTTCTTATGAAATCACCTGTAATCACACAATTCAGAAAAACATAATTGGCATTTCCCTTTAGTCCTATTTTCTAAAGATTGACTTATTTCCTCTATAGATTGTACCCTGAAATCCTTATTTTGAAGACAAATTCATCCATTTAATTATTCTTTGAAATCATAATTTTGAAAGGTGTGTAATATTTCATCACTTAGTATATACCTGAAATGGTATGTACATCCATTTCCCTATTCCATCATATTTAGCCTATATTGTATTGTTTCATGCTTATAAATAATTTTATAGTTAACATCTTATATATTTATCTTTGAACACAGTATTAAGAAATCCATAGATAAGATTCTGAAAATTGGAATCAATGAAGTTGAAAAGTCAAGGATCATGAAATATATTGCCAATTAGCTCTTGAGAAAGATGACAATTTATTCCCCCACTATTCATGAGTTTATTTATGTATTATCCATATATCCATAATGTTCCAAGCACTGAAGATATAATAGAAAATAAGATAGGACTAGTGATGTACCAAAATTTGGTTTTAGGTGATATTTGGTAAATTCTGTTATTTGACTTTGTCCTTGCAATGTTGAATCTGAGAGGATTTTTCAGTGTCATTTCTGCCACTTCTAAACTTTAGTGGGGTCTATGATTGTCACAAATTTTAAAACAGATAAAATGGACCAATTCTTTGAAAGACAGTTTCCAAAGCTCACACAAAGATAAAGAGAAAAACTGAAGAGCCATATATCTATTAAAAAATTGAATGAATAATTAATAATCTTCCAAAAAGAAAGTACAAGGCACAGATAGTTTCACAGGTGAATTCTACAAAATATTTAGAGAATAAATTATATTGACTCTCTATAGCCTTTTCCAGAAAACATAAACACAGGGAGCATTTCTTAACTTGCTCCCTGAGGCCAGCACTATTAAATCCAGACAAAGACATTACAAAAATGGAAAACTATAGACCAGTATCTCTCATGAACATACTTGTAAAAATGCTCAACAAAATATTAGCAAATTAATCCAACATTGTGTAAACGTCGTTGTACCTGCAATCCGGTAGAATTTATTCAAGATATGGAATTGAGACATTTCCTTGGCATTAAAATTTTGGATCCTTTGAAATTTATTTTACTGTGCACTGAGTTATTGATCTAATTTTTCAAGATTCTAAACACAAATTAATACATTTTTAAGGAGAATTTACATATTTATAGTTTTGGCTTCTGGTTCTAGAAATGTTTAAACTCTTCATTATTTAATTTAATTTTGTCTTTATGTTCCTCGGGGTTTTTTTTAATCATTTTCTTCTTTTAGGTTTTGGATGTTATCTTGCTGGTTTATTCCTGAATATATTTTGTCATCATTTGCAATAGAATTTTTTCTAAATAATTATTTTCATTTTTTTAAAATGGGATCAAGAAGGGTGGGTTTCTTATTCACTTTTTATTTATTTGTTATTTATTTATTTTTGGCTGTGTTGGGTCTTTGTTGCTATGTGTCGGCTTTTCACTAGTTGCAGAGAGCAGAGGCCACTCTTCGTCGCGGTGCGCAGGCTTCTCACTGCAGTGGCTTCTCTTGTTGGAGAGCACGGGCTCTAGGTGTGCGGGCTTCAGTAGTTGTGGCTCGCGGGCTCTAGAGTGCAGGCCCAGTAGTTGTGGCTCACAGGCTTAGTTGCTCCGTGGCATGTGGGATCTTCCTGGACCAGGGCTCGAACCCATGTCCCCTGCGTTGGCAGGCAGACTCCCAACCACTGCGCCACCAGGGAAGCCCCTAAATAATTATTGCTGATATACTTTTTAGTTCAGTCATTCAACAGAAGTTTATTGAACATCTGCTATATGTAAAGCAATGGGCATCAAAAATAGAAAAGGCTTTACAGGCATTTCCCCTAATGGAGTTTTAGTCTTTTGGGGGGAAGTGGGAAAAAGCACAAAAACAAATAAATGCAGGAAATACTTACAGGTTGCATTTGTGCTTGAACAGGTAAATAAGGAAAAATAAGAGCAAAGGAGTTTATGGTTCCTCAGCCTGAAGGTGGATGCTTTCAACCAATCGGTGAGTGTATACTAGTCAAAGATTAGTAGGAGCACACCCATAGTGGTGAATAAATTGGGTTTCATTCTTGTTGCAGTTGGGGAGAACATGCAAAGTGAGAAACTGGGGGGCATCTCAGCAAGAGGATGTAAGAAAGGGCTTCTTAAAGAATCTGGGCTTTAGTTCGGTGATTCTGATGAAGATTCAAGGAAGTAGGGACTTTCTCTGCATTGGGTGACATCAGGAAACGGGATAATTCTATGATTGGATATGTTGATAAATCTTATCTAGAAAAAAGACAAACTAGAGTGAGGTTGAAGCCATAATTGTTAAAGAAGCAGCAGTCAGTCATATTAGCCAAGAGCTGGGGAGTGTTCACTGTTTTGTGGGATGTACAGGGAGCTTGTTAATATGTGTGATTAGACACAAAGATGAAAGGATTTTGATTTTGGTAACATGATAGCCTGGTCTGATGTTGCTCTGTGAAATTGTTTCTGTTCAACAAGAGGACACCAAAGCCTAGTGTGAGTGAAACCTGAAATGTGAATGAAATACACATACACACACACCCAATAAATACATGTATCTCATTAGACAATAAAGCAGTCATAACTTCTAAATGAAGAGAGGTATTGACAAAGAACCTTTCAGACACATTATTAGTTAAGAAGCTTTTAGTGGAGGATGTTCAGGCCTTCAGACCCTGAAAACTCCTCCTCAGTACTGATGTATACAAACCCTTTGGCTTATCTTGCTTTCAAAGTGAAAGTTACAATTTATTGATTTCATTTGTTCTCTGAAAGAGAAAAAAAAAAATTACATTGGGGAATTGTGAGAGGCTGTGGTAAAAGAAACTTGACTATCTTCCCAAAGGAAATAGGGGAAGGTTGAGGGATTTTAACAGGAAGAAAAAAAAAAAGGCCTTTTAGTTTAGCACGTTCACTCAGCAGTTAGGAGAGTGGGTGGCATGGAACAAAATTAGAAGCAAAGGCAGGTTGGAGGCCAGTCATGATGCACTGTCAGTGTGTAGACAGAGGTGAGGACTCTGGTAGGTAGAGATCACAGGATGGGGCAGATGGTTAAAAATGGAGAGTGAGAGAGAGGTAAGAATTCATGGTGTTCCCAATTTAACATGAATCTTCTATAGCTTCATTTCAATAAGTGATCATAATGGTAAAGGTTGAAGAGGCTAGTGACAGCTATTATTTGAAGACAAATAATACCCCATTCTGGCTATTTTTCTTTGCATGAGCCGTGCTGTCCTCAATAAGGGCATTTTCTATGCATGACCAATAAGTCATTTCCACTCACTTGTACATTGTGGTTTAGAGCAATTACCTGTTGACTCTGCTTCATAGATGAAACCAACGTTGTTCCATTTATAGGCTGAATGTGTGCAGTGCCTTTGTCACTGCAGCAGGAGCATCTTCCAGCCATAATATTTTCCATTGAACAAATAGATTATCATCCAAAACTGAGTACAGCCCTGTCCTGATGTTCATACTCATAGGGATGCCTTGCCCTTTATCAGTTCATTGAGTCTCAGTCGCCTGTTCCTTGTTATTTAGTGGCTGCCGCAAAATGGTATAAATAAAAATAAATAAATGTTCTCTCAAATAGCCCCTCTTGACAATTCCTGGAAAAAGTAAAACAACAACCACCCATTATGACATTCAGAGCCTTTTCTTGAGCACTTGAGTTCCCTGTTTAAGGAGGGTGAATAGGAGCCCTGGTGAATAAGAAAGCAGATTGAAAATCAGGTCCCTGTCCTCAGAGTTTTATGATAGACAGATAACAGGAGAAAGAGTAGCATCTGTAACAGGAATTACGGGAAACTCTGTAAAACTGCCGTATGTGTGTCCTGGAAAAAAAAATAACCAAAGAAACAAAGTGCCGTTTGTAATTCACCCATGATGATTTGGGACTTTGAAATGTGGCTTCCTGTGTATGATCATTTTTAAGATATTGAATGAAAAGAAGAAGTAGTGTCACAAACCTCAGAGATGAAGGCTCATTTGTCATTTGCAAATGTTGATAATAACATTAAAAATAATAACCAGGTTATTTAACTGATGTGTTAACTGATGTGTTAAGCTCTGTGGAAGGCCCTTTATAGATGTGACATTATAATTTGCAGGACAATCACTTACGGTTTTATACAAGATAAAACTGAAATTAAGGGAAGTTAAGTAAATTGTTCAATGTACAGGTCATATACCTGGTAAATGATGTTCTTAATTGATCTGTAGAATTGTGGAACTAGTCCTAATTTATGCCAGTTTATTGGAATTCCAGCAGATGTGGACTGGAATGGTTACTTAATTTAATAAATATTTATTGAGCATGAAATTTATGCTAAGCACTAGTCACTAAGGATTTCTTAAATGAAAAGTATATATGTAACAGGGACTAAAGCAGTTTCAATAAAATTCTGTAAGTAATCGGGGCAGCCACAGTTCAGGTGAAATCATTTATGAAAAAGCACTAAAGATGTGTCAAACCTGGATCAGAATTTGGAGGAAAGGGCTTTGCTAATTTTTTTGTCCAATATCTATGTTCCTGGTTTCTTTTTTTCAGTGACTTAGTTGGAATAAAGCTGAGTTCTTACCACTGAGATGTTGTCTTTAAGAGATAATGGTGTGTGCTGTTTAAAAAATAACAAAAACAAACAAAAAAGAGATAATGATAATGCCAGTAGAAAAAAAAAAAAACTCCCCACAAATAAGCTGAGCTTATTCAGGGGCACAAAGTGTTCCTTTTTTCCCACCTCCAACTTGCTGCAAATAACAATGCTCCCTTATTGCTTTAATAAAACAAAAAAAATTATATGAATACAGCATATTCATGTACCAAAATACTACTGAATAGTTTTCCTATGTAAGTTTGGAATTAGATTTCCCCAGCTGCCCATGCAAAAATTCATTGTATGAATGGGTGAGACAGTATTGGAGCCTCTGCTATTCTTTCTATTAACACTACTGGTGCTGAGAACGAGTTTTATGAGATTCAAATATCAGTCTTTCCACATCATTGCTTTCCCCATTTTTGATCACAGAAACCTTGGAAGGCAGCTTTCCAATCTCAGAGAAGAGCTCACCTCTTCTGATCTGACACTTTAAAGAGAAAGATATATTTCTTCATTTTCTAGTTTATTTCAAGATGTAGCATTTATATTCTAATAGTGAAGGGCTAGAGAGCTCTGATGTGAATACTTTTTCTTCCCTGACATAGTTATCTTTTTATTGCTGGTCTCAATCATCTCTTTTCCTTTCCTGATGTAATAAAAACAAAGCACTACCTGCCCCCAACCCTTCAAAAAATGATATTTGAGTGACTATATTCTCAAAATGTTTCTTTGACACTTACTTCTTTTTCAACTTTAATCAATTTAGGAGCTGCAAAAATTGAAAGCTTTGATTTCTAGAGTGCCATCTTTAGAAGCCAATTTCTGACATTAAATGGAAATTGTATCCAACATAATGGCTGGCTTAATACAGCCTATTATGTTTATAGAAGTCTCTACTTTTATTTCGGCAGTCTATTCTAGTTCTTTGTGCATGAAATACACACAGCATTAGAAACAAATTTTAAATTCCAAGTTACTACTAATTCTTAAAGTAAAAGTGGTCATTCTATTTTCCCTGCTTTATTCATTCTTTTTTGTAAAAATATAATTTTGAATACACACTGACTATTTAGTATATGCTTCACATTACAATTAGATTTGACAACTAGTATCAGAAAGGCAATGTTTTAGAATGTATCATAATCATGCCCATAAGTGAGCACAGTAAGTCAGTGTTTTTGATTTGTTGTTTTCATGGTTTACATTACAGGTTTATTTGAATTTCAGCTTAGGCTTACCTTTGATGATATAATATTTTGTTAATATTGGCTATTTTAATCTGAAATATAAAGTATAAAATTCAATTTGATTCATTACATATTTAGTAAAGATAATATTCGAGCTTCAGAAATGTGTTATAGAAAAAGAAATAAATATTTTCTGCCTTATATCCTCATGATCTTGTGGAGACAAAAGATATATACATGTAGTTGTACATATACAAGTGAATTGGTTAGATGCCATGGATCTCTGACATAAATCATTATTTAGAATCATGGCTCTCTCCCTGGTTCCCAAACTTTAGTAAGTTCACAATCCCAGAATCCCCTGAATGAAAGGAATTCTTAATGAAGACTGAAATCCTGTTGAGGAAGAACCCTACAACAGTGCCTAAACTGTATACTGTAAATCTTCCCTGTAGACTTGCCTCAAAGGGACCTACGGCTATAGTATTAGAGAAAGGAAAATACTAAGGTTTTTGGGGGGATTACTGAACACTAACTCTCAACTAATATGCTAAATCCTCATGAACCAAAAAACAGTTGTGATCTGTTAAGAGTGGGAACTTGTAGCATTAGGTAATTAATTGAGTTTTTACTTTGGTCTGTCTCACAGCAGGCCTGATGGATACCAGAACAAACCCCATGATCATTTATGCATTTCTGAAATATGGTTGAAATAGACATACTCAGCAACTGGTAAAGTCTCTATATTGGTTCCCTCTCATGAAATAAGGATCATTATGGTAGGAAATACCAAGTTTAAACACCTAGAATGCCTCCATCTACGAAAATAGTAAATCAAAATCAATACCACATTCTTGGAAATGTTGCAGAGATGCAGCTACTATTGCAAATACGGTTTTTTTGGGGGGAGCATAACATCATATAAGTACCTGGTATGCAGGTATTTATCTGTCAATTTTTTTTCCTATATATATTTTAGAAGCAATTTGGTTTCACCTGAAAAGGACAACAATATACCATCACAGTCTTAACTCACCAATATTCCATACTCTATCATAATTTAATCTGCAGAAAACTTGATTTCCAAACATTCTACAGGAAATCAGCCTGGTCCACAACATTGATGATATCATGATGATTGTTGCTATGATGATATCTGTTGATCAAAAACTAGGAAGTATTTTAGATGCTTTGTAAAGAAATATTGG